AGTCCTTGTATCTTTTGAACCTTCCCTTGCTTTCTGGCCAAGATGTTCCAAGATCACCTTGCATATTCCCTGACATAGGCTTGTTTTTTGTTTTTGTTTTTTTCAAAGGGGCTGGCTGGTATGGGGATCCAAACCCTTGACCTTGTGTTATCAACACAGCACTCTAACCAGCAAGCCCCCTGACACAGATCTAAAATCAGCCATTTCTCCAAGGAGTTCTAAGTCCTTTTAGTGGGAAAAGATAATCAGAGATCATTATCTGGGGGCTTGTTGCTACTGGGTTGGTCAGTATAAAAAATATATGGTTAAAAAAATAGCTTTGCAGCTTGCTTTCTTTACTTTTTTTTTTTTTTTTTTTTTTTTTTTCCGTGTCCGGCAACGGATCGCAACCCTCAGTGTTGCCCCCGTACCGGCCCGGGGACCGGCAACGGGACCGTAGCCCTCGGTGTTGCTCCCGCGCCTCGCTCAGCCAGTGAGCGGGAACCAGTCTGTATGTGGGATCCGAACCCTCAGGCGGGAGCGCCGCCACACTCCCAAGCGGCACACTGTAGCAGTGCACCACCGGGCCGGCCCATTGCTTTTTTTACTTTAACTGTATTCATTCATGTAACAAAAATGTACTGAGTAACTACACAGTGCCAGGCGCTGTTTTAAGCCCTGGGTGGCTAGAATAGTAAACAAATAAAGTCCCTGATCTATTAGAGCTTATAGTCTTAGAAGGAGAAAGACAATAAAAAAAACAATAAATACTGGTACTTTTTAATATTTATTCATAGATAAGTGCTATGAAACCAAATGAAGTGAGGTCATTCTCTAGCATGGGAAAAGAGTATAGTGCCTCAGAGCAGAGATCACTAAACCAAAAGCCAGGAGAACAGGCAAAAGCAAAGGTCAGTGGCTGGAGGTCAGGAATTCTCAGAACACCACATCTGTGTTTAATGGACCTACAGCAAAGAGACCAAAAGCAAATAGAACATAAGACAACTAAACTTTTAAAGGAACTGTGCAGCCAAAGATATCCCTATGACTTAGGCCGTATGTAAGTTTTCAATGCAAAAGGGAATTTCCAGCAACCAGATCACCATACTAACAGAAAACGGGCTTTTAAAATTGTTCAGTCTCCAGAAAGGCCATCCTGCACTAAGTCCATCTCAGATGTGGTCATGAAGGCAGAAACACTATCAAGGAACACTACACACAAAGAAAATTCACTCAAAAAACAAAACTGGGGGCTGCCACATAGGTAAATCTATGTGCTACGGAGCAGTGACTACCGAGATTGTTTCCAAATTTTCCTTCCTCTGATTGGGAGTTCGTATAGTAACTGATCCTATTTCTTCTTCATCAGTGAATACTGGGTACATTGGGCACTGAGAATTTCTCTTTTACTCACACATTACCAGACCATGAAGAGGTCTATCTGGACCTGAAGGAGACGGCTCTGCACTACTCAAACAGCCCGGACTAACAGTTGAGTGCACTAAGTGGATGCAACTCTGGGTTATATAGAGATCCTTTTGAGGAGGAATTGAATATTTCTTATCAACATAAGCATTTTTAGTATATGCATGTAAGAGTATGCACAATATTAGGCAGATAAATGTGGTCTCCTGCAACAGATACCGTTAGCTATTCTTCTCCCCTTTACCTGGTTGGCAACATGTGTGCATACACATATATGCACATACACACACCCTTTTTTTAAGTGTCTGTTCCTCCTCCATGTGATTCAGGGAAGCAAAGCCCTACCCTAAGCAGAGATAATTGTTAGTCTAATCCAACAATTTTAGTTCCATTCCCCTTGCCAGTGATTTGTTTACATAATAGCATAAAATGAATTTTGGCCACTAAGATTAAAGGAAGTTTGTAGAGGGGAGAAGGAGAGTGCCTGGGGAAAATCTCTTTACTGAATAGAAAGAGACATGAAGAAATACTCCTCCTTCTTTCACTGAACGTTGTGTGTGTGCATGTGATGTCTGTCCCCTGAGCAGCCACACTGTGGCTATGAGGTGAGCTGACCTATGGCTAAGTTGGTATGTGGAGGATGGCACAGTTGAAATAGAGGAAAAACTTGGTCTTAGGAGCCACAGGATTAACTGCAGTCTCATACCTTCAGACTTCTTGTTGTATAATATTACATTTTCTTTATTGTTTAAGCTCTTTTGTTTTGTTTTGGGGGTTTTTAAAAAATTTTTTCATTGTACATATTTATGGGGTACAGTTTGTTTCAATACATGCATATGTTGTATAATAATCTAATCAGAATGGTTGGCATAGCTATGGCCTGAACATTTATCATTTTAGTTTTTTGTTTGTTTTCTTTTTGTTTCAGCTCTTTTGAATTTTGTTTGTTAATTGCAGCTGAAAACAGTCTAACTGAAGAGATAAACTCTGTCCCAGACCCTTTCAGTTGCCCAACGGATACCAATCCTCCCTTTTTTTCCTAGCTAACCAAACTCTGATTTTGCTTGGGGGGACAATGTGTCCAGCCATATGCAGAGACCACAGATTAACCTAAGCCAATTGTGACAATCCTGTCTTGCCTTCTTTCCAGTAGGCCATACAATTAGATATAAATCAACTGTCTCAGGTTAGCCAATAAGACTTAAGACAAAACCTGCTGGCAGGGGAGTAGTTTCTGGGGACACTTTTGCTTTCCTGATATAAGGTCCAACGGAGGCTGGTGCTGACCCTTTGACCATTTTTCCTGCTTCAAATGCAGATAATAGTAACCATTTTGTAACCAAGAGGGAAATGCCAAGGAAATTACAGAGATGTCAACCTTGATACTAGTCTCAATTACTAAATGAACACCAGCAAATTCCTACCACCAGCAAATTCCTACCACCTATATTAAAAATAAATCTAAGTCACTGTTAGCTGGGTAATCAATTAAAGGTAAAATCATTTCTAAAATTTGTGACCAAGTTAAAAAAAAAAAAAGGACTAAATATCTATCAGATGTTAATATCAGATGAGTCATTTTTTAACCTGAGTAACTTTATCTTAAATCTATATAACGTCTGATGCTCAAACAATTCTTTTTTTTTTTTTTAAAGATGACTGGTAAGGGGCTCTTAACCCTTGACTTGGTGTTGTCAGCACCACGCTCTCCCACGTGAGCTAACCGTCCATCCCTATATGGGATCCGAACCTGGGGCCTCGGCACCATCAGCACCACACTCTCCCAAGTGAGCCATAGGCCGGCCCTAAAAAATTCTTGTTTATATCTAAAAGTGTTATTATTTCTGCTTTATAACACGGAAACCAAGGTACAGAGAAATTTACCTTCCTGACACACAATTCAAGATAAAGCTAGAGCTAAAGTCAGAAGTTAGTTCCACTCATACCACCCTGCAATTTTTTTTAGTGTTCTCTAAGAAATAACACCTTTTCTACATCAGTTTTAGTTTTCTTTTTGAGCAAATATTTTTGTGTTATTTGAAGGAACTACCAAAATAATCTTTTTTGAAAAGCAATGTAACAAATTTTGCTCTTTATCAGAGAAATACAATTCTTACTATTATGTTTTGCTTATGCCTGAAATCTTTCTATCACAGCCAAGTTGAAATTACTTATTTACTCCATCTAACAAAAGTTTACTACAGAACAACTTGAATTGAGGTGAGAAATAAGAATTTTGTATCATACTGTCTCTGTGGAATCTAAATAGATTAAAAATTTTTTATACCAAAATGGAGATTACCTGGGACTGAGGCAGCAAATATAAATGTTACTATTAATTTAACTCATCATCTTCAATACTATGACTTGGTTGATGCTGATCAACAAAGCATATAACGGATGTTAAAATAAAAGTGTTGTATTAAATAATTCGGTGTTTCACAAATAAAAGTGACTTTTGCAAGAGGGCTCTATATTCTTTTTTTATTTTTTTTTGTCTTTTCCCGTGTCCGGCAACGGATCGCAACCCTCAGTGTCGCCCCTATACCGGACCGGGAACAGCAACGGGATCGCAGCCCTCGGTGTTGCTCCCGCGCCTCGCTCAGCCAGTGAGCGGGAACCGGTCTGTATGTGGGATCCGAACCCTTGGCGGGAGCGCCGCCACGCTTCCCAAAGCGGCGCACTATAGCAGTGCGCCACCGGGCCGGCCCAAGGGCTCTATATTCTGAGCACAGTAATAATAAGGATACTGTTATACCTAAGGCAGAATACAAAGAAGCTGTAGGTTTTGTTGTATGTTCATGCTTTAAAATGAAAACATCAAAAGCTCTATGTTGTTAATCATATTTCTTCTTGTGGTTAGATATTAATCCACATCACTGTGAACAGAACATTATGAAAGCAATGTGTGAAGTCATGGGGACGTCCAAAATGTTTTATCTAAAATCCTTCTGCAAAACAGTACTCTCTTCAGTTTAAAATATTATCCTAATTAAACTATATGGGAAAAAGCTCATGTACAAATACAGCCCCTGATCCTAAGAGTCATCACAATAACTTCCTATTTGGGAGTTCTAAGCTATGAAAACACAACATTGGTCATAAATAAACTTTCAATACTCTATGAAGAAATTTTAGTAGAACAGACAAATGCCCTTATCTTTCTAAAGTTTTTACAAATATAAATATAAATATTATTTATATTTATTTCTTATTGTATTTTAAAGAAGACAGTAATTTTAGAGCTCAGCCTTGATTACCCACCGCCCTATGTTTTAGGTACTAGTTTAGGTGCTACATATACTTTATCTCATCTAATCCTCTTAAGACCTGATGCTATGTATCATCATGCCTATGTCATGGATGAGAAAATAGGCCCACAGAGGCTGAGATTTTAAAAAATACTTGAAAATGTTTCTATCATAATCAAGTTCAAAAATCGTTTGGCATGTGTTTGTTCTTTGCCTGTTCACATAAAAGCTGTGCAGGTATTGTGGGCCCAACTCTTCACAAAGTAACCTGAGTTGAAAGAACAGCTACAAGAATGACTGATTTCTATATACAGAAATATATTACTACAATGAACATCGATTTACCTTGAACATGAGAAATGATGAATAGATAGGCTCCCAATAATCTGATGTAAATATATAGCTGAGTCATTGTTCAATTTTAATGTTTCCTGTACAATGTCACCTTTAATAACTTGTCCTATTTTTTTGCTAATTTAAATTACTTTTATTCAATGAGATTCTCTTGTAAAAGGCCACGATCACTTGACAATGACTCCAACTTCCACTGTTTTCTCCTGAGCTCTGAAAGAGAAAAATATTAAAAAGGTAATGAACAAAACTACATTTTAGAAAGTTTTCAAACTAAGAGATGAAAACAAATGGTAGAATATTTTTAAAGATTAAAGCTATGCTTGTTCTTAAAAAAAAAAAAAAGGTTCTGTAATTCCAAAGCTTAAATGCAACTCTCCCGACTTCAGATCAGCCATATGTAAAACAAGAGAAGTACACTAAATACAAAAGTACTTCAAAAAGTTCATGGAAACGTGTATTATCTTTTAATTCTCTTTTTCCATAAACTTTTTGAAGTTCCCTTGTAATCTCAATAGTCTTTTCTGTCTGCTCTAAAGTAATCATTATTTTATTACTATCCAAAAAATTCCTAAATATATTGAGAGGAAAAACTGAATTGAAAACCCTAAATTATTCATCAATTCATTCAAATCCTAGTAGATATAATAAAAATATCTTAAATCTTTCTAATAAATAATTTATTCTATAGATAGAAAAGAAAGTCTACCTAAAAAATTATACATATTTAAATATACAGTATGCTTCCTTATTAAAGCAAAAACAAATAGAAATTTATCTTGAATAAAGTTATTTTCCTAAAATATTGCAAATCTGACTTCACTAGCATAAAATTGAGCTTTTAACAAGGATGACATGAAACATAACCTCTCCAGTTAAGGGTTGGGAATTATTAACATAGTCAGTGAACTCTTAAAGGCCTCAAAGTAAAATGGTTAAAGGTAACAGAAAAAAAAGACTCGTTTGTATCAAGATTAATATAATTCTATTTCCCCCCATCCTATTGGTCCAGGCAGTTTGATTTTACTGCCCTCAGCCTGAACTATGCTGAATAAAAAAGGTTTTGCTTATTTATAACACAGTTACCCCTGGTGTGATTTCTACCACAGATAACATGAGCTTTGTATTTTATCTATGTAAATTTTTTTTACTTTAATTAGCTCTCCAAAGGTATTTACGGTATTGAGGCAAATGACATCTACAGTGAGGTGTCATTTATATATGCATTTTATATATGGCTTGGTTCTAAAATCTCTGCAATTTTTTTTTTTGGGGGGGGTCTTTTTGTGAGATTGGCCGCACCGCGCTCAGCCAGTGAGCGCACTGGCCATCCCTATAAGGATCCGAACCCGCAGCAGCACTCCCAGCACCACACTCTCCCGAGTGCGCCACGGGCTCGGCCCTCTGCAATTTCTTACTTCTCTACTATAAAGTTGAATTGCTTCCTATCATATAATGCTCACAGAATAAGATGTAAAGTCTAAAATAATTATAGAATAACATTTGCAATGTGACTTACCATTTCATTGGAAAACATAGTTCTTGAAATTATTCAGTTGTGATTCTAGGGATACTTATTCCAGATAAGCAATTCAAGAGAAGTTGTCATTGTACTTCCAAATCTGATCTCTCTCATTTCTACTTGCCTATTACATGTCTCTACTAGGATTACATTCCACCTGCCTAAATCAAACTCATTAACTTTCCTTCTCGCTCCTCCTCCTCTACTTGCCATCACAGTGAAATGTGGCACCATCTTTCTAGTCACCCATGCCAAAAACCCTGGTGTGAGAAGAAATGAATCTCTGCCCCCCTTGCTAGCTCTCACCCGTCTCCATATTTTCACTTATTCATTCACTCACTCATACACCAGCAACACTTGTTGAGTACATATTACAGACCAGTGTAAGGTTTTAGAAATACAAATATGAGTATGTCTGTTTCTGCTGCAAGGAGCTCCAAGTCTTTGGCAGGAAACCAATCACTATGACTTATTACATCTTTCAGTGTCACTGTTTCTTCATCAAAGCTGGTATGTGGCCTTGTCTCATTAGAGCTACAACTAAGGTATCCTGCAGAACTGTGTGCCACAGCGGAAAGGACTGTGTGTGCAATTCTTTCTACATGACCCTGCCACCTCTGGCCCAAGTTCAAATCCTGGATGTGCCTTAAATAAGTAACCTAACCTCTCTGGAGGAGTTTCCTCATATTTAAAACCAGATTTATAGTATTAACCCATAGTTATTTTGAGAACTAAATGAGATAATAGGTAACACATATTCACTTTTATGTGCCAGCACCATTATAAATGCTTTCCATATACAATATTAATATTAACTTATCGAATCATCACAACCCCTTATAAGAAAAGTACAATTATTATTGTAATTTTACAGATGAGGAAAACAGGCAAGTAGACTTTAAGGAATTTATCAAAGATCACACAGCTGGTAAGTGGTAGGGTTATAATTCAAATCAAGGAGGTCTGATTCCAGAGTCCATGTGTTTACTACTATCCTATACTGCCCTGTTGGATATTTTATGTAAACATATTACACTTTATAATGGAAACTATACATTATAAAGTACTTAGGAGAGCCTGAAACAGAGTAGGTGCTCAATAAAAATTCCCTCTACTCATACATGTTTATGACACACTTGCCAATCTGGCACAGGAAGAAACAGGTGCTATCTGTGACAATCCCATTTGCAAAAATTTTTACACACTAAACAACTTGTGACAACTTGTGTGGAGAAGAGCTATCAGCCCAGGGAAGACTAAAGGTAAAATGGCTTCAAATGCTTCATCTATAACCTAACGATGGAAACCCCTAACCTTTAAAAGAATATCTTAGGTTTTAACTGACTACAAACTCAGCATGTATCAGCACTTACAATTGCTAAGACATGAACGGAATCTTATCAAGCATTAATAGAAACCACTGCCGAAATCAAAGAGCGTAACCATCTTACTTCATTCCACCTGGTCAGGCCTCTCATGCACTTTAGAGAAGAATGACAGAAATGCAAAGGTCATATACACTACCGTACTTGAGATACAACTGAAAGAACCAGGGGTCTTCACTCACAGAGTATGAAAGGAACAGTCCGAATGCGTCTTTGTGTTTTTTTTTTTTTTTTTTTTTTTTTTTTTTTTTTTTTTT